GTATCCGTGTTTGTGTGTTATTGCTGGAAGGGTGTGAGGTGTGGAGGGTTGGTGAATCAAAGGGATCAGGGTGTTGCTAGCAGGACACTTTGTTTCCAGCCTGTGTTGCTTTTTGTCAGATGCTGATAAAAATAACAACAGAACATCATTGGACAGGAAGCTGGACAGTAACCTGATGCTTCTGGTGAAGCAGAAAATTGGTAACCAGGAGCTGTGGCTCCTGCCTCAGGTGGAATGGCAGCCTGGAGAGACACTGCGGAGCACAGCTGAGCGAGCCATGGCTACGTTTTTGGGTATGTGGTTTGCCCTGTGCCTCACTCTCACTCCTCTTTGTCTCAGTGATTTTCTTCCAGTGCCCTATCTGAGGGATATTTGGCATCTGCTGCAGTGAAATTGCCTCCCGTCTGCTGGGAAAAGGCATTTTGTGGCAGAGGGGTGGAGCTCAATGGGGTGGACTTTCTGGGAAGAGCTGTGACCCTGGGTAGTCACTCTGTAACACTGTACTGCAGTGTGCAGAGGACTGGCACATTGTGAGCTGGGGTCTCTGGCTGCCAGCAGCAGTGATGCCAGGCCTGACCCTCATGGTCTGGTGTTGGAGCAACACCAGACACCCCCTGAATAGTCTAGGCTTGCTCCAGGTGTGTGGCTTCTCGTTCCCTCTGGTTGCCCTTTAGTAGCTGTTTTAGCAAACGGGTGATGATGTCAAACCCATGTGTCCTGGCTTTTCACTGTGCTTTGGCAAAGCTTGATACCCTCTCCCTCCCTCTCCTACTCTGTGAGGACTCACTGGACTCCAGACCAGCTGTTTTTTCTTGAGAAAAGGCTCACAGTTGGCAGTATTTCTGCCAAAGAGGGAACAGTCAGTCTGAACCAGATACAAGGACTGGCTTACGCTGCCTTTTGTTAGATAGGAGAGTAGTTATTGTGGCTCTGTGTTCTTATGTCTTGATTTCTTTTGCATTGCTGTGGTCTTGCAGGAGATCACGTTCAAGCCAAAATCCTGGGGAATGCGCCGTATGGGATTTACAAGTATAAATTCCCCAAGGCCATCAGGACTGAGGATAACGTGGGAGCCAAAGTCTTCTTCTTCAAAGCCTTCCTGCAGAGCAGTGATTTGTCCCGGGCAGAGCCCAAGGCAGATCACCTGTGGGTCACAAAGAACGAGTTGGGAGATTACCTGAAGTCAGAATACCTGAAAAAAGTGAATCGATTCCTCCTGGACTTGTAGGCTCTGGTGGGGTGTGCTCCAGCAGATGTGGGACACGGCTCCAGGGAGGAGCGTGGCTGCTGCCTTGCATGGTCTGTGTATGAAATGTTAACTTGGGCTCTGGAGGATAATTTGCCTTTGCCTTATTTCCCAGTTCTCTTTACTGGCCCTGTACTGAATAAATATTAAAACTTATACTCGGAAGTGAAGCTTTCCTGAGGGAGTTCTTTATTCTTGTTGAATCCTCCTCCTCCTCCACCACCTCTTCTGGAAATGCATGTTGTGATCTTTTCCTCTCCCAAGAGTGTGATTCCCTGGGGCTGTGGAACTCAGGAGGCTCACTTTCCTCCCCAGACTCCTGTCATAGGCTCAAGCTCAAATGGTTTCTCCTTGCAAGGGCTGATTCTTGTGTCTGGTACCTGCTCTCTGATAAGAGCAGCACTGGATGGTTATCTGTGTGTCCAGGTGGGAACAGAGCCTCCTGGGGCAAGGTGGTTTCTGGGGAGATGGAAGCTGGGATATTCACAGCTTATTAACATTTAATCTGAGTTGGAGCTGACTCTGGCCTCGAGTCTGTGATACATCATGACAGACATGGATGCATGAGGAATAGATAGCAGCTCTTTCTTTAGACAAGTGCTGCTTCCCCACCTACACTGCCTGCTCTTGAGCCTCAGGCTACAGCAACAGGCACTGGAGGAGGGTAACACCAGCAGTAGCTCTGTCTGAGCTGGGAGACTCATTTTTCCTGGAAAGGGAAGGCTGCTCTAGCATTGCTGCCTCTTGGGAGCAGCCTCAGAGGTGGCTCCAGGGGGTTCTCTGCTCCCGTTCCGGTGCGTTAGACCATCAGTACTGACCTAGCCCAGCTGGGTCTGCCTCAGGTAGCCTCACCCTATTACCCTGATTTCTTTATTAGATCTATCCTGGGCTTATGTGGTGCTCAGCCCCTATCTGGGGCTGGTTCTAATTCTTGGAATTTTTTTTCTGGTTGTAAATGTTGCTGTTTGGTAGTCAGAGTGTGGGCCCAGTGCTGGCTGGACCTTGCAGGGAATCAGCCTCTTTCAACGGCAGGGAGAGAGGGAGGAAATAGCTGTCGTTAATCATCCGGAGAGAGTTCAGCCTCCAGAGGTGGAACTGGAGATTGCTATATGTATTTTATCAATCCTTTGGGAGCTGTTTTGCTGCAGGCCTCAAATTAAAGCTATCCTTAATCACTCCACAAGCCACTGGGCTGGGGAGGGAGCACAGCAACTTTCTATTTTCTAACGCTGGACAGTTTGGGAGCTGCAGGTTTGCCATAAATTACCAACATAACTTGGTTCCTTGAAGCACCCTTGCAGGCCTGGCGAGGAGACTGAGTCTGCAGCAGAGAGCAGTGGCAAAGAAGAAATCAGTGTGAAGCAGAACACATGCCTGAAAGACAGCAGCCAAAGAAATCTGCAGTTTAAGGTCAGCACTGCTGAAGGGGAGACCTTTGCCTTCTCCAGGAGTGGAAGCTCCTGCAGCAGGGAGAGGTGAGTCCTTCCCCACAGGCAGGCTATACTCAGCAGCCTGGGGGGCCACGGGTGCAGTCAGCACAGGATTAGGCTTTTCTCTGCCACTCTAGTTTCAGGCTATCACTGGCTCCATAGGACTGAGCCCCTGAGCAGAGCTTTGTTGCCACAGGCTTAGGGCATGCCCTTTGCCAAAGTCTTTGCCCCATTTCCCATGCCAAAGGCAGGTTTTGTGTTGCTGGAACAAAACTTTCAAAACGTGTAAAATGCTGTTTAATTGGTGCTTACTTGTTCTCAAAAGCAGGAGCACAAAAGAGAGAAAAGGCTGTGCTGAAACCTTGCTGATCTCCAAACCCAAGCAGCTCTTGTTTCTGGCTTACTCAAGCTACAAGTCTTTGGGCGTTGCCTGTTCTGAAAGAGGTGTAGTTCCCTTCAGCAGTGCAAAGGTCAGGACCAACAGCTTTCTTCATTTTCAAGTTTTTTTTTCCCTTGTGCTCAGACCTTCTTACAGGTAGGAGATGTGTGAGAAATTTGGTCTTTTCTGGAAGCTGAAATTGTTGTTTTCTCATCACCTAACCCACAAATTTCTGCTCACAGCCTGCATAGGAACAGCACTGGGTTTTGTTTTATTTTCCCTGCAGTTGATTTTATTAAAAACCCTCAGCCAGTTGCTGCAAACAATCCCAGATCCTGCAACTCGGGTGTTCTTTCTCAGTTCTCTGTGGCCTGTTTTCTTCTCTGGCTTTGATGAGAATGAAGGGAGGATATCATGCAGCTTTCCTAGAGGATGGTTTGAGTCTTCTAATTTCCTCTGCTCCCAGAGGTCCTGTGTTAGATCAGAGGCTGTTCTTTTCCTTTGGGAACTTGGTGGCTGCATGCTGTCTTTCCACTCAGTGCAAACCTATACCCACACTTAGAGTGTAGAAGCCTGAGCAGGCAGGCTAGTGGGATATATTTTGCTGGTAACTTCTGGAAGTCTAGCACAAAGCCTTAAAACCTTTTCTGAGAGAGCAGAAGGAAACCAGTTGAGTTGTGGCTGGGAGAGAGCTGCTGCAGCCAGGTGTGCCTCCTACAATCTGGCACAAAGAGCAGGGGGAGCATTTTGCTGTGTTGAGCATGAAATACAAGACTCTTTTTGCAAACATGACAGAGAACCACATGAGTGTTTGTCTGGGTGTTGAGGGAGGCTGGGACTTGTTTGCACCCAAAACCTGGAGGGTTTTTCTCACCTTCACAAAGGTCTCACACAAGATCTCTCTGCTAGAACCTGAATCTGCAGCAAGTGCCTGGGAAAGGCACTGAGTTTGCTGCGGCTCTTCAGTGCAAGGCACAGTGAGATCAGTTGAAGAGCTCTCCTGTGAAGTGTGCACAGGAGACAGGAGTTTTGGAAAGGGGCAATGACTCCTTGCTTTGAGAGCAGCAATGTGGGGCTGTGCTGGTTTGAGCTGGAGTAGAGTTAACTTTCTTCATAGAGGCTAGTATGAGGCTATGTTTGGGTTTTGTGCAGAACACAGAGTTAATAATGCAGAGATGTTTTTGTTATTGCTGAGCAGAGTTTACACAGAGTCAAGGCCTTTACTGTGATCTGTACTGCCACGCTGGCAAGGAAGTTGGGGATGCATGGGAGATTGGGAGGAGACACAGCTGGGACAGGTGACCCAAACTGACCAAAGGGATATTCCATACCATATGACATCATGCTCAGTATATAAGGTGGAAGGAAGAAGGAGGAAGGGGGGACATCTGGAGTGATGGCGTCTGTCTTCCCAAGGAACCGTTACGCGTGATGGGGCCCTGTTCTACTGGAGATGGCTAAACACCTCCTGTCTTCGGGAAGCAGTGAATTAATTCCTTGTTTTGCTCTGCTTGTGTGTGCAGCTTTTGCTTTCTCTATTAAACTGTCTTTATCTCAACCCATGAGTTTTTGTAGCTTTTATCTTTCTAATTCACTTCCCCATCCCATTGGTGGGGGAGTGAGTGAGAGGCTGTGTGGTTCTTGGCTGCTGCCTGGGGTTAAACCATGACAGGGGCTCATGTAAGATGTGCAATGTAAGATCAGTGCTGTGGCAGCTGGACCAGCAGCTGAGTGTTACCTTCCCCTGACTGTGCCCATCGGGCAGGAAGTCACAGGAAGCACAGGGAACCTGAGAGCTGTCAGGCTGTGGAGGCTTTCTGCAACTCAAAGTTGTTTTAGGCACAGGATGCTTCCATTCATGAGGGTCATACACAAAAGCCATATCCTTCACCTCTACAAGGGGGAAGGAGGAATCTCAAGGTGACCTCAACCTGGTGCAGTACAGTCCAGCAACTGTTGCTAAAAGTCTCCAGGACCAGAAACAAATGGAAGGAGCAGTTGCAGTCTACAACATTGGCATCTAAGCCATTGCTTAAGCCACCATGTTAGAAGAGAGTGTTGCAGGTGTTCTTTGTGGCAAGCTGATGCTAAGCACTCCCATCCGTGAAGGAGAGATAACAAGTCCTTACAAAACCTCTTCTCAGCTTCACAGATACTGTTTTCCTCTACTTCTCCTACAAAATTGTGCCCTGGCTGAAATCCCTCCCTGTCTGTGTGAGTTTTGGGGGTTGATGCCCTCTAAGCAGAGCCCTGCCTGCATGTTTTGTGATAGTCTGTGAACTGCTCAGAACAGTATGCTTTCCTACATAATGGGAAGCTGCTGATTGTTGCTCCTCCTGACTCCAAGCAATCAAAGGCTTCAACGTTTGGAAGATAAATACATGTGGAGGGAGGAGAGGCCGTTGGTGCCACAGGCTACAGCACTTCCTGCTCTCTGGAAATCTGTAGGAGGAGAGATGCTCTTCTCCCAAATACAGCCGTGAGCTTGTTAGAGCAGGGAGAGCTGCTGGAGTGCAGGACACATCCTCTAGCATCCCTCACTGCTGGGGCAAGGGGTGGGCTGTATCAAGGTGAATGGGAGTTAGGCTGTTCCAGCTGCTGCTTGCTCCCTGTGCTGGAGGATGAGGCATCTCCAGCAGCATCAGTCACTTTGCCTTTGTTCTGTTCAAGCTCTCCTGCTTATGTTGGAAGGGATCTGTCTCTTTGGTGGTATTTTTTCTAGTAGCACCTGGGGTTTCTGCAGGCACTGCCCATGCCTGCTGTCCTCAGCTGTCTGCAGGGGATGCAGCATGGGGTGCTCTGCTCACAGCAACTGAGAGACCTACCAGAAAAAGGTGTGGAAAATCTGGCTGAAGTCACCAGTGATAGGAGTGGATTAGGTTCCATCCTTTTGTTTTGACTACACCTTTTACCACCCTTTTCTTATAAAGTCACCCCTGGCGGTTGGCGTGACCAGCATGTTGGAAGGATGCAGTCTGGGGCAGGCAGGAGGCAATGGTTGAATGAATCTCTGCAAAGGTAAGAATGGATATAAAAGAAGGGGATCTACTGGGAAACGGTAAAACTACTCCAGAATCTTTGTTGATAATACCCAATCCTTAACATCAAACCCTCAAAAAGGAAAGCCAGGAATTTGTGAGTTGAGTATAAAATGCTGACAGCAGGAACCCCCTTCAGGTAGTGCCAGCTACAGCTTTGCTGTCAGGGCTCCTTTTCGCAACAGATCTTGGTGGAGTATAAAATCCTTTGGCAGGACTCTTTAGGCAATGCTCAGAGGTGGAGGGGTATTTTTCAATCAAAATATGAAGGGTTGTTCAGCAGCATTAAAATGAAGCGTCTTCAAAACATGGGCAAAGTAATA